AACGTCGTGGTAAAAGTGCCACTTCAAAGTAAGTTGCATTATTGATAGCAGCTTTAGATATGAACTGATGTGGCAAATCTCAACACCTATATGATACCATCTTTTTTGACTTTATGCCTAGTTTTTGAGTTTCTACTTTCTTGCTTGTTTCTACTTTCTAGTAAGAATCGATATGATATGATACTAGTGTTCACGTAAATTAGTAGCAGGAAATAATGCTGCCAAATACATTAACTCTAAAGAAAATCCGGACAGATGAAAACTGATATTCCTTTAGTCTTAAAGTCATAATTATTCTCAGAAAAAAGCCATTTTATTTGTATTCTACTGAGAATTCTGGACAGAACATCTTATACATGCAAACAAACAAAACGTTCTGACTTTAAGTTCAAGAACTGGGAACAGGAGAAGTTCCTGGAGAAAACAACACGTTCAATGCAAAATCACCAACACTAGGGTCTATTTGAAAAATTTACGATCCATTTGCTTGCCATAAGTACATTTGCTTTCATCTGATTGGCGAGCTGAACGAACTGAACTGTTCCCCGTCTTGGAACAACGGCAGCAGTCTGAACTTTTTGATAGCTTCCTTGCACAAGAATTGAAACTGGTATCATGACACATTTGCTTATTGCTTCTGGACAAGGCATCCTTGTTCTGGGAAACATAAACCTCAAAATCCTAAAAGGATTACACTCTTGTTAGGTACTGTGAATTGGATCGCACACTCCAAGAATATCTATGTTATGAAACGAGATTTAATTAAATAGTCGTGTATACAAGTACCTTAGACTTTGTCTTGGAGTAACATGGTGTTAGGCACGGATTCAAATCTTTGAGAAACATGTCATCTGGGCTGTCTGGGGTTGTGTAATCCCCAGAGCTGAATTCTTGATCAAACTATTTAAAGAGAAAAATTTTAGATAACCTTGAAATTAATAAAAAGATGCATAGCCTAAATTTAATATCGAACTAACCTAATTAAGAAGAGTAGTCCAAGTCCTTATATGCTGATTTATAATCTCATATTTATCCCTTAACACTTAGAAGGTTTCATATGACATTAAATAGATATCAACATGCAAATGAGCGTATTTTACGCATACTTCATGATATATTTTGTATGAATTTGAAGCGGGATAACATGCTTTGCTTGAGGTAAGTTATTAGCATGAATTCAGTGTCTTCATGTCCATTGAGGCAAGCAATTAAGGGATAGGAACTTACAGTACAGATATTAGACTCATTCGAAGGGGTTTTAAGTTCTTTATATACATAATGATTTTTCCAGTTTGCTATAATGATTTTACCCAAGAATTAGCTGCCTCTTCTTGATCATATGATGGTGTCCTTGGAGAGCTGAAGTGATTATCATAACTTTCTTTTGCTGAATATTTGTCTGCCTTCACCTGTGGCAAAAAGGAAGACAGAAAAAAAGTTACATCAACAACTTAGAATTAAACTTATAATAAATCTGTCTAGGTACATGTGAATTCAAATTATCTATAGTTTTAGATTTTCTCCGGTGCACACCGATTCCAAGTAAAAGTAGAATTCGAACAGCAATATCAATACTACCTCAGCAAGATCCTCAGCAAGACATTGTAATTGGCCTGTAAGGGATGTGACCTGCTTCTGAAGACTTGGAATAAGATGTTTTGCCTGATTCAGTTCTGACCCCTGCTTCTGCAGAAGCTTCTCAAGTTGCGAATTCATAACATCCGGAAATAGTACAGCATTTTTAAGAGACTTTATCTCTTCCCTTTGCTTCAAACACAAATCTTTCAGCTTCTCGACCTGCAAATTCTATAATCATCCACTAAATCTAATAATTGAATGATCAGAAAATTATATATCTTGATCAATCACCATATTAGAGAGGAAAACATATGCAGATGAAATGCCTTTTATTGGCATCATCAGAAAATCAAATCCAGTCGAAATTTTGATGCTTCCACAAAATCCATGAAAATTAGAACAGATATATCACACTTTTCTTCCGCAAATCTGACTCTCCTATGAAATTGCCACAATGAATACCAAAAGTTTCGATATTTATGCAATTTCAAGTTATTATATCACTCGATACCCTCAATTCTCCATTCGATCATAACAAGACACAATCAGCCTTAAAATGCACACTTGTACAAAATTTCTTTAACTTCTTGAAAGAAGAAATAAAACCCCCATCGAAATTCTTCTTTGATTAAATTTAATAGAAAGCAAATCTAATTTTACCTCTCTGTTTTTCTCCTCAAGCAACAACTTGAGTTCAGCCATCTGCTCCTCGTTCTCCTTTGTCAAACTCAAAAGCTCCCTCTCACTTCTCAACACCATAGCCAATGTCCTCGTATTCCCTTTGACTTCAGTCAAAGCCTTCTTCGAGCTTTCATCTCCTCTTTTGGTCCCTCCTGATGATCCCTTAAACAATTTCTTGTGCAGCCCACTTAGTCCAGAACCCTTCTTCGCATTCTTCTTCAAATCCTCGGCTAAAAAATCCGCGGCCATAATGAATTTCGTGTCCCCATTAAAATTCTTGGCCTTCTTGTTATCGACCAATTTTTTTACCATGGAGCTGAGATTAATTTGGTTGGTGGTGGTTTTCTTTGTGATGGCGCGGGAGACCGAGATCTCAGCTGAGGAAGAGGGATTGGATTTTGTGGAGCTGTTTAAGCTATTGGTGTAGCGAGTTGCAGGCTTGATTGAAGCCATTTCCCCTTGAGAATTTCAAATTCTTTTGTCGTTTTTTTAATTCAGGAATTCCGAGGGATTAAGGTTTCGATTTTAGTACAGAAGGATAATTGCCAGGATTATTTTGGTGAGTGTCTCGGATTTTGTTTGACATTAACGTAAGGATGTCCGAATTCAAAATTTTAAAATCGACCTGTAATGTAAAGAGGCGGGACAGGGATTTTTGAAGGGCTCTATAAACGACGTAGTATTGTGGTAGATATGTAAAGTGTAAGCTCCTCAGCGCTAATTCTTCCCTATTTGAATGATGTTCTTGCAAACTAATTTGTGTCATGAAAAGATAGAAAAGGAAAAGTGAGAATAAAAATTAATAGATTTGTGTGTATTTTATTAAGAAACAAAATCTTATATTTATAGGGATACAATGATAATAATTTCTAAAGTTGCAGAGGTACAATTGTCATTCACTAATAAATTTACCATTTACAACTCTCCCTTAAAT